GTTTGCATCCAAGAGGAACTATTCCAGTAATAATACACGGGTAAGGTGGATTTATCAATATTTTTGAGAGCTCGAGGGGTTTTAAATTTATGTATAAACAGAGGGGGAGTTTGTGATCACTGGTTGCATTACATATAAGTAATATAGTAATACGGTCTTTGGCTTTTTTTTTCCTGCAACTTGGCCATCAGCTAACATTTTATCAGGTTTCATATGCCAGTATAATGCAGTTTCATCAGTATTATAAATATCCTCGGGCTTGTATTTTTTGATTAGTTCTTGCAACTCATTGCGAAATCTGGGAAGATTCTCGAGAGGTGCACTTGTAGCTTCACCTAAACGTTTGTATTTCTTTATATGGTGCCTTTTTTTGAAATTTGAAAGCCATCCATCAGATGCATTGAAACCTGTCACTTCAAGCCCTTCCACGAGTTGTATTGCTTTACGTTTAACTATTGCACTCGTAATTGTTTGCAACGCAGTATTTGCTCTTGATATCCAAAGTGCAAGTGCTTCTTCTACCAAAGAATATTTTTCAGCCCTTTGTCACTTTGAATGGGCATTGTTCGAGTTTAAATCAAGTGCTAACCACTTTTCTTTTTTATGAACAATACCTGAGATTGTAGCTTTAGCTACACCAAACTATTCAGCTAGTCTAATTTGGCTAACTCCTTTTTGCTTTAGGTGGCATATTTCAGCTTTCTGAATACTGGTCAGGCTTTTTCTTGTATTAGTTTTTTTTTTTTTTACTGTATTTTTGTTTCTTTTTTATCGGCTCTTTAGAAGGTCTTTCCATTGTTGCCGTTACAAGTGATAAGAAACAAAAAAAATAGAGGGAATATTTCTAAAATAAGAAATAGCGCAACTTCATTTACCAAAATGAAAATGACTAAGATGTAAAAAAAAAAAAAATAAAGGGACAGTATTTTAATTGAAAAAAAAAATAAAATAAATCTTTTAAAAAAAAAAAAAATCTGCCTTCGCACAATTAAGTACATTCAAATGATTTCGCTTCATCTTTTTTCATTTCAATACCATTGTTCAAAAATGAATTGCTATAATTTAAAATTTTAACTTTTTATTTCCTCTAGAGTCAAGGTCTAAAGGTCAAACGTGAAAAGCCAGGTTGGCTACTCGAAATATAGTAAAATTTGTGAATAATGCAAGAAATTTAAAGAACCCCTATATAGGAATAATGCATAAAATTGTAACATGTATTTTTGTGTTATAACAGGTATGGCAACTAATCAATTAATTTGATTGGACAATAATAATCATATGATACAACCTTCGTTATAACGCGAGACATTTTATTATATCCATTTACAAAAATCTTTACTATAGCTAATATCAAGAGTTTACTATTTAACTTCACTATATAAGGTGAATATTTATTATTATTGATTCTGTTCTAAAAAAATTCTTCACTATAAACCAATCTTCACTATAATGAAGGTTCACTATAACGAGAGTGACTTGTATTACTCTTTTATTGTACATCATGTAGCTTCTCTGTAGGTAAAAAAGATATATAAAGTGTGTCTTTTTTCCTTCTTATCAAATCTTAAGTTTCTATACTTCAATTAGACTCTGATAATCTTTAACTCTTCTTATCTTATAAAGTGTGATATTTTCCTTCTAGAATAATTTCTACAGGCAAGGCTTATCACCATTCTTGCATTAAATAAAGTTATTCTATATACTGTTACTATTCCGAACTATTTGCCTACTGCTATGTAGTTAAGTAAACAACTATACC